AAATTGACCACATACTTAGACACAAAGCAAGTCTCAACAGATACAAAAAAAACTGAAATAACTCCCTGCATCATATCAGACCATCATGGACTAAAGCTGTATATCATCAACAACAAAAAGCTTAAAAACTTGTGGAAATTGAACAACTTTCTACTGAACGAAAAATGGGTCAAGACATAAATAAAGAAATTAAAGACTTTCTAGAATTCTATGAAAATGAACATACAACATACACAAACTTATAGGACACAAAGAAAGCAGTGCTAACAGGTAAGTTTATAGCATTAAGTGCCTACATAAAAAAACTGAAGAGCTCTTATACTAGCAACTAACAGCACACGGGCACACCTGTCCGGGCTACTAGGAGGCAGGGCTACAATGTCTCCCTACACACCTGAAAGCTCTAGATCAAAAAAAAAAAAAAGAAAAAAAAAAGGAATCACACTCAAAAGGAGTAGATGGCAAGGAATAATCAAAATCAGGGCTGAAATCAAGAAAATAGAAACAAAGAGAACAATACAAAAAACTCAGTGAAACAGAGTTTGTTTTTTGAGAGAAACCAAAAGATCAACAAACTCTTATTAAAATTAACTAAAAGATGAAGAGAAAATATCTAAATTAACAAAACTAGAAATGAAAAGGGGGACATAATAGATACCAAGGAAATTCAGAGAAACAATCATATAAGATCGTACTTTAAAACCTGAACTCCACAGAATTGGAAAAATCTAAAAGAAATGGATCATTTTCTTGATAGGTACCATTTTCCAAAGTTAAATCAAAATCAGATAAACAATTTAAATAGACCTATAACCCCTAGTGAAATAGAAGCAGTCATTAGAAGTCTTCCCCCTTTAAAAAAAAAAAAAAAAAAGCCCAGGAGCTAGCACAGAATTCAACCAGACTTTCAAAGAAGAGTTAATGCCAATACTCCTCAAAACATCACACAAAATAGAAACAAAAGGAATATTGTGCAATTCATTTTATGAGGTCACAGTTACCTGATACCCAAACCACACAAAGGCCCAATAAATAAAGAATTACATACCAGTTTCCTTTATGAACATAGATGCAAAAATACTCAATAAAATACATGCAACCAGATCCAAGAACACATTTAAAAGATCAAGTAGGTTTCATTCCAGAGATGCAGGGATGGTTCAATGTATGGAAAACAATAATGTAATCTACCATGTAAACAACCTGAAAGAAAAAATACCAACATTAGAAGTAGAAAAGGTCTTTGATAAAATCCAAAACCCCTTCACAATAAAGATTCTGGAGAGATTAGGGACACAGGGGACATGCCTAAATATAATAAATCCCATAGCCAACATCAAATTACTGGAGAGGAACTCAAAGCAATTCCACTAAAATCAGGAACAAGACAAGGTTGTCTATTCTCTCCATATCTATTCAATATAGTACTTGAAGTCTAGATCAGAGTTATACGAATTGGAAAGGAATAAGTTGAAGAATCTTTATTTGCAGGTTATATGATAGTATACATAAATGACCCTAAAAATTCTACTGGGACACCATCATTTGGACACAGCAGCAGCCTACAGAATGGGGAAAAGATTTTTTTATCAACTCTACATCTGCTAGAGAACTTATATCCAAAAGAACTCAAGTATTTAAACACCAAATAATTTCAAGAATGCTGATTGGAACAAATGCAGAGAAGTCACACATAGGGACACCATAGTGAAATTGCAGAAAACAAAAAATTAAAAGAAGTACTTTAAAAGAACCAGGGACAATGACACATTATATACAGAAAAGCAGCAATAAGGTAATTTCTAACTTCTCAGAAAGAGTGGAGGACAGAATGTTGACATTCTAAAGAAAGAAAAAGTAGTAATCGCATGGGCTGAGGAAATGGCACAATTGGTAAAGCACCTTCCATATAAGCATGTACTTGAGTACTTGAGTTGGATCCATAGTACCATATAAAAGCTGACACAGTGTGTGTATGTATCCTCAGTGCTAGGTAGAGATTAATGAATCTGTAGTGCTCATTGGCCTGCCAGCCTGGTCAAATTAATACACACTAGGTTCAGTGAAAAATTCTATGTCAAAAATAAGGTGGGGAGCAATCAAGAAAGACATCTGATGTTGCCCTGTAGCTTCATCTGTCAACCAATATTCTGTATCCAGAGAAAGTGTGCTTCAACATTGAAGACAATAAAAAAATGCAAGCAATATGTATCCTATCTGTTAGATCACAGAGCTGCCTCTCTGTGTCTCCCAAAAATCAGGCCACACTCCTTAAAATTCTCTCCAGAGAGCTGATAAGCCTGTTGTGGCCTTGTGACTCCCACAGAGTTCTCTTTCTCCCCCTTTCCACTATAACTCCCCTTTCCTGTTGCCCTGACCCAGATAGCATTGAGTTATAATTCTACTTTTATCAGTACCTTATGACTTCCTGCACATAATCTAGCCACATGGTATAGAACTTAATCCCCCTCATAGATCCATAAGAGCAAGATATTCCCTTTGTCCTGCTGAACTGACAGACTGTCTCTTCCTTCTGGATGTCATTGTGTTATCTATAGCACAATGCTATATCTCTCCAAATCCATCATGACTGAAAGGAACTGAGTTGGCTTCTTCAGGACATATGCCATATTATTTCTAATGCTCTCCTACTTCAGGGCCTCAGCATGGCTACCTATAACTGTGAGCCTATAACTCTCCTAATAAAGCCCTCCTGAAGAGTAATTTTTTCTCAACATCCTTCTATGAACCTGTTTTCCTTTGTAACACTACCAGTGGGCAAATGGTTGAAAAGACAGTCTACATGTAATGGCTAGAGTAATTAATACATTGTTTAAAAACATGAATTAGAACTATGTTATTTGACAGAGATAGAGTGAGAAACAATTTAAGAGACAGAGAGAACTCTATTAATATATTTGTCTCCTTTTGTATCTACAGCAGTGTGCCAAGGGGGCAGAGGGTAAGACTGCTTCAGATGTAGACCACAGCTGTCCACATTGTTTGCTGTGAATCTAAAAAACACTGAGTGTCTACAAGTAGGTCTGCATTCCATTGTCCCCATGCACCATCAATTCTTAACAAGGCCTCGGCTTGATTTGTAGGTAAGCCCCATGATTTACAACATTGTGTTAACTAAGGCAGGGGAGAGGTGGAACAGAGGAAAGGAACAGGGTCTGAAAGCAACAGAAGAGAAGACAAAAAGAGTGTACCAGAGAGTCCTCATCAATGTCACACAGTGATGTGAGTACATAGTAAAGGAAATTTACATAGGGGGACTTTAAAGGAAAAGAGCTTCCTGATCTCATATTGGCTTCCTGAGGCCTGGCCTTCCTCTCTAGCCCTGGAGTGTCTCCAACACCTACCCTGAAGGCCTAGAGCTATTCTGACTAGGATTTGGCTCTTCTGCTCCTTGCACTGAGCTGTTTGAAATCCTTGGATTGGTCGAGAATTTTCTGGAATATGGTTTTTGCTCCTCCTTATGTGTGTGACATTGGAAATCCCTCAGTCTGAAGGGATTTCCCTATGTGTCTAACATAGCTCCCCAGCAGGGCACTTTTGGTTGATTAGCAGAGCTTTTGTGAGATTTCCCCAGCAGGTGGCTTTTGATCTATGTGGGCCTCAGGCAATTGTGTTCCTGAGTTAGGGTTGGTTAACTGTGTTGTGCTTTTGTTAGTTTGTGTTTGTTTTGTTTTTGTCAGTTTAATACAACTTAGAGTCATCTTGGAAGAGGGAGCTTCAGCTGAGAACATTCCTCCCTTAGACTGGTCTGTAGGCAAGTCTATGGGGGGCATTTTCCCAATTAAAAGTTGATGTGGTAGGGCCCCATCCATTGTGGGTGATGCCTCTGGGTAGGTGGTCCTCCTTGTATAAAAAAGCAAACTGAGAGCCCTGGAGAGCAAGCCAAGGTTCCTCCATGGTCTCTGCTTCAGTTCCTGCCTCCAGGTTCCTGCATAGAGCTCCTGTTTTGACTTCCTCCTATGATGGACTGTAACCAGTAAAGTGAATTAAATTCTTTCCTCCCCAAGTTTCTTTTGGTTATGGTGTTTATTACAACAAAAGAAGGCAAGCTAAAACAGTTGGATTCTAAGAATGGTGTCTCTCCACCCTCAGCAGCTAGATCCACAAAGAATGGACCAGCAAAATGCAATTTAAAAACTTTCCATCTAGCTACCTGATGAAAATCAATGGCTTTGAATTTGGGTACAGTTTGAAAATTCCATCACTGGATGTCTGTTAAGGACCAACAAACTATAGACACAATACCTTGGCAAAGGAGGCCTCTGTGTTTGGTTCTGTCAGGACAAAAGTGCTGCTGCACTCTCAGAAGCACTGGCAACACCCCTGGAAGATTATCTTTGCTTTTGATATTTCTCTATTGTTGTTGCCCTTCCTGGTACCTGGCTATTTCTTTCTACCTCTATTTTTCCTTTTCATTGTCTTATTTGCATTGACCCTCATCTGTAACTGGTCCTATGTGTGTGCTGTATATGTTTTTAAAAGGTTTTTTTCTCTGCTTTTAATTTTTAAAAAAGAAAGTTTAATTCTACCCCAAAGCCTCCCATGTGACACTCAGGATCATGATGACCTCACTATGTGTACCCTTACTTGCTTGGCATCATAAGTGGTGAAGTGGTGCCCTGGAAAATCAAGGGTTCTAAAGGACATTCTTGTTGTCCTTGCTATCTGTAGCTCCACTTTGTGGCATAGCAGCTCCAGAATACTTGATATCTGTTTGCCAAGGTTCTGGGGGTAGTCACTCCTGGACCTGGGTGCTCCATGGCTCTTTGGACCTCACAGCTCTGTGGGTACTGCAGAGCTGGGTGACTCAAGCTGAAGAGGCAGTAGTGTCCACACCCTGATGTGTTTTGGATTTCAGTTTTTTTTCCCCTCCTCAGAGGGGGCCTGGGAATCTCAGCTGGTGACTGGTTTCTGACTTTGGCTGTCAGCAAACAGTGTGTGGGGCTCTGCCTGCCCACGCCCTATGTCTGTGAGTGCTGTGGAGGCCATATGAGTCATGCCTGCATTTTTACAGGGTGGCCTGGTAACTCTTGATTGGCCACCATGAAAACATGGACCTCAGAAGCACAAGATGGCAGGAGGAAGCCATGGCTGCTGGCTGGTGCTGTTATGAGCACCAGCATTTTGTCAGTTTGGGGACTAGGAGGGTAGTCCCTGCCATGTCCAACACCTGGTGAGTCTGGCTCCATATTATACACAGAAACTCTGGGCATTGTCTACGTATAGCCACAGAGAAACAAGTTGCTTTCTGCAGCACAGCAAGTAAGATAAGAGGAGGTCGTGGACTGCCTTGGTGTTATGACATTCACCCTTTGTTCTACCAGCTAGATTCCCAGCATAGGGATATTTGCTTTTAAACACTTGCTTGGGTCAGAGTAGCTAAACTCTGCTACAGAGTGAATGGAGGACTGTGAACTATTTCTTCTCAGAGCCAGGAGAGGTTGGATATGGTGAAAAGGCTTTTGATCTTTGCAAAGAAAGGATCCCTTGAGGCTGGAGGCGGGCAGCCTTTAGGTGTCACTCACACTGGAGAAACTTTGATGGAGCACTGACTGAGTCCCGGGAGAGGCCATGTGAATGGAGGCAAGATGCTCCTGACTCTGGCCAGCTCAGGGAAAAGTCTATCTGGGGTTTCCAGGATCAACTGCCACGTGAGTAGTTTACTCAATGTTCCAGAAGTAATGAGGACATGGCGTTAAAGAAGGACATGAAGGTAAGAGAGCATACTTCCTGAATGTGTGTATGTGTATCCATGTGTGCCTGATGCCTTGAAGGCTAGAAGAGGGAGTTATGAATGGTTGTGAGCCGCCATGTGGGGGTACCTGCTCTTATTCACTGAGCTAGCTCCCCAGTCCCCTAGGTTTAACTTTAAAAGAAACTACCAACCTTTTTCTCCACATGTTTGTATTTCTGTTGGCAATGTATGAGGGTTTCAAGTTCTCCAAATCTTTGCCTGCACTTACTACTGTGTCATTTTTGTTGTGCTCACTTCAGTGAGTATGAGATGAAAACTCATTATGTTTTGTAGTTGACAGCTTTGTGACCATGAATGCTGAACATCTTTCTCTGGGCTATCCACAGGTCTAGTCAGACCTGCAGCCCATTACAAAACTGGGCTATTTTTACTTCATGTAAAGTTTTAAGAATTCTTTATATATTCTAAGTAAAAACCCATGCATATTATAGTCTGTATATTATCTTTTCATTTTTTCACCATTGATGACTTTGAAGTGAAAGTTTTTAGTTAGTTTTGAGGAAGTCAAATTTGTCAATTTGTTGTTTTAAGGGTGATGATTTTTATGTTATATAATAAAACATTTACTTTTGTGACACAGAGTCACCAAGATTTTTCTTCTAAAGAGTTTCGTGATTTTCTTGATTTTTGTTTATTGTTCATACTATATGAGAATATATTTGATTCCAAAATATAGATCTTGTGATCTTGCTGAAATAGCTAATTCATTTCAGGAGTAATTTTGGTAGATTCCTTAGAATTTTGTTTGTAAAGATAATTTACATAATTTACTTTACTTCTTTTACTTCTTCACTTAATTTACTTCTTTTCCAACAGAGATAGGTTTACACGTTTTGTTATATTGTATTAGCTAGAATCTCCAGTACAGAGCTTAATAGAAGTGTGAGTGGGTGTCACTTTAACTCTAGTCTTACAAGCAAAGTTTTCCATCCATGTTTAATCCTAAAGTATTTGTAAGGTATAGGCTTTATATAGACATCCTTTTCAAACTGACAAAATTCTCTTTCCATTTCTGCTTTATAGAGATGTTTTATTATGATAGAGTACTGGATATTTTTTTAAATCCATGAGTCTATTTAGATGATTGTGTATGTTTTAGTTTTTAACTTTATAAGTAATATATCCCATTAATTAAGTGTTGAATATTAAACCAACTTTTGGACGCTAGGATATAAATCCTCCTTGGACTATTTTTATGTGTAGTTGGGTTCAGTTTTATTTTTATTACACTTTTCTTTGTTGTTTGTGTGTGTGTGTGTGTGTGTGTGTGTGTGTGTGTGTGTGTGTGTAGTAACTTGTAGGAATTGATTCTTCCCTTCCATTATGTGGCTCCTGGAACTCACGTTGTCACAGCAGCAATTAGCCTTTACCTGCTGAGGAATTTTGCTGACACTTTGAGATATAATTATATTCATGAGAGATATTGGACTTCTGTTTTTCTTTCTGTTGGTAAGTTCCTCTGTTTTCTTGACTAGTTTGTGACAGATTCTTTCAATATTTGTAACCAATGAAGCCATGTAGGTTTTCCTTACAGGATAGTGTTAATTATTGATCCTGTTCTTTACTTAAGTGTACTATGTTTATATTTATTCTTGAGTTGGTTTTGGTAATTTGTAATTTTCTAGGAATTTGTTTATTTCGTTTAAGCTATGTAGTTTATTGGCATAAACATTCCATTGTATTTTAAAATCCTTTTAATCTCTGTAGGGCCAGAGATTAATGATGGGGTAGCCACAGTGGAAGTCCCAGTCAAACCCGAAAAGAATGATTTGCCAATGAGGACCACCCAGATTGACCCTAAAGTTTCTGATTTTTCATTTTGTCTGTCCTTTAAAGAGGCACAGGAACATATTATTTGAACCAAACACACATACTCTTGTGTAAAACAGGTCACCTGTATTTGTTAGATGGCTGGAACCATGAAGCTTTGGCTTTTGGCTCCTGTTTACCATTATTTCTAACTAAACTGATACAGCCTGAAAGGAAAAACAAGGGTCAATAGATGTTGGAAAAGCTAATGGCCTGTTAGAAGTCTTGCTTGCAGAGCTCATGTATTTGCCTTTGCAAGGGTAGAAATATTTTGACACAAAAGTCTGAGATATTTATCTTATCCAATGGGTTGAATGGTCCAGGTGCTGAGTTGTTCAGATGACCCAAGTTTTGAGAGTCTGTGTAGATGTGAGGGAGTTCTACTGGCTTTGTGAAAATATCTCTAGAGCCTAACTAGAGACCAGAAAAGCTAAGGAAACCTCTGAGATTACCCATGACACCAGGTATATCTAGGCCTGTCCTTGGAGCCCATGTTATGTGGGAGTTTCTTGCTCAATTGCAGGGTGGGGTCAATAGGGACAGTGGAAAGTCTGGTTTCCTAAGCCTCCATCAGTCCCCAGGACAACTGTAGGTCTTCTCCTGTTCTCTGCTGTTGAGTTAAACTTCTCCCTGGTCACATGAGGGATAACCAAGCTTTAAGGGGCTTGTTTCCATACATAACTTCCTTTGGCCACTTGTTACTACACGCTGCTCATTTCTCCTCTTTCAAAACTTCTTTTCCCTTGAAGGTGGCTGAGATCCTGAGACTAAGGAATTCAGGCAGAGGTTCCAGGGTCATCTCATGCTCCTAATCTAGCAGTGTTTAGATCTTGGAGTGAGTAGGATAGCACCCGGCCTCTAGTGACCAATCATTTTCTTATCACAGAATAGAAGGGATCCCCTTGGTACAGATTGACCCCTCAGCAGACAACAGTGGAGTGTGAGTTCATAAGGGTTTGAAGTCAGCTTCATCTCCCCCAAAGTTTTCTCTGGAATTCACTTTCCTGTCTTCTGTCAAACTCCAAGTCTGAGTAGAGTGTCCCTCCCCTAAGATTATGGTTATATCTTCAGCAAGGCTGAGGCAGCTGAGCTTCTGACCATCAGTGAAGTCACCCTGGACCAGAACAGCCTAAGGCAGATGTCCTTTAAGTTACAAAGCAGAGATACCCATGGTTTTGCTTCTTTAGGAAGTTATTTCTTTTCTGTAATCATGCAGAGAGTGGATCTGTCTCTTCCTATCAGCCTACCTCGGTGGATCCTGTGCCTCACATGCATATTTCTACCAAAACTTTTATTCTTATGATGGAATTGAGTCCCTAGAATATCTTGCTTTCTTCCTGAAGGATGTCATCCTAAAGATTCTGACTTTTTCCCTCCTGTGGCCTTTGTATGATGTTCCACAGAGCATTCATCCCTTGATATCCACATGATTCTCTCCAGAACAGATAAGTGTTGGGACTCTTTGGGGTCAAGAAGTCATAATCTGTCATTGACCTCCACACAATTAGGTCAAACACCTAGATTGAAAGTAAGACCCACCCAGACTCAAGTGGAAGTGGAGGAGAAAAACACTACACGAAAAGTCTAGACGTGGTGGCTTTTCTAGATATTGAAAGTTGATTTTAAAGATACAAACTTTCTGTATATAAAAGCTGGATGTATACTGTTATGGAGCATGAGGAGATCCTGCAGCCTCGAGGAGTGAGTGACTCTAATCATCAAATGGTCAGGGTCAGTCAGGGGAATTCAGAATCGCACTCTGTTCACACAAGTGGAAGGTCAAGGCCAAGGCAGAGTCCCTGGGATGTGAAGCAGAGCCAGCCTGTATCATGGCCCCCTCCCTTAGGAAAGGTCCTGATGCCATGTGTGCTGTAGATATTCTCCATGCTACTCCAAGGGCCCAGCCATACTCAGCAGTTATGACTCTAGTTGTTTCCTGGGCAAAGTGGGGCTGAGATGGGAAAGACCCCAACTGTAGAGTTTCTGTATACTGACAATATCCTAGTCTCTAGACATAGGCCAGTCTCCTGGGATCTTTCTGCCCAATCCAAGGTTGGTTTTCAGAGAATCTCCAAAAATCTCTAATTTTTCCTGACTCCTCCCAGGGTTCCCTGGGTATGGACATGGAACACTTAAAAATCCCACTCCCCCTTTTGTTTGCAAAGTGGATTCCCAACTCACCTCATAGTGCTCCCTTAACTCTGTTGTGTGCCAGACTCTCTCTGTGTTCAGGACAACTTCTGGCTCTTGTCTGTTCTATCAGCCTGTTTATCCTGCACCAACCCACCCCATTCTGAGATCTCATAGGCTGTTTCTTATATTCCTGGGGGGGGGGTCCTCATTCTCCATCTACACACTCAAGTGTTTATAAGCATCTATGATGTGTCAGAAAATATGCCCCAAACAAAACATCAGCTTCACTAAAGCTGATCTCTAAACGGATTATGCATGTAGGAGAGAGTGGATGTTAAATGTAATGACAGAAGGTGCAATAGAGCTGGGTACAGTAGGACGGTATTCTTTACACTACAACTTCTTTAAAAATTTCCACTTATAACTCCTTTCCACCTGAGAAATTTTTATGTGACTGCATATTTAGGCATATAAAATAGGCATACAAATAAAACCTTAAGTAATAAAAGGTCAAAAAGGAAATTATTTTACTATGTATTAAAGATAAAAACAAACTTCCATATTAATGAGATATATGTACTTGTTTAACGTTTCATAAAGAATTAAATTTTAGCCAGGCATGATGGAGTCCATCTTTAATCCCAGCACTCAGGAGACAGATCTTTATGAGTTCAAGGCCACCTAGTCTATATAGCAAGTTCCAGCCACCCAGAACTACATAGTAAAACACTACTTTAAAAAAAGAAAAAGGCTGGGTGTAGGTGGTGCACGCCTTTAATTCCAGCACTTGGGAGGTAGAGGCAGGTGGATCTCAGTGAGTTCCAGGCCAGCCTGGTCTCCAGAGCGAGTGCCAGGATAGGCTCCAAAGCTACACAGAGAAACCCTGTCTCGAAAAACCAAAAAAAAAAAAAAAGAAAGAAAGAAAGAAAAAGAAAAAGAAAAAGAAAGGAGAAAGAGAAGAAAGAAAAAAAGAAAAGAAAAGAAAAAGAATTAAATCTTGTCTGAATATTTAAAAT